TTAGGATTTGTAGCTTTTATTACACTTGTTTGGTTGTGAAGTCCTTGGAGGTTTCCAAGGCAATTAGTAACCCATTTTGCAGAACTCTACCCTCTCTTTTGCAACATTGTTCGGGGCACAATTCATTTCACAGATGTTTTTTCTAGCCATCCTATTGGAGGTCGACTGTTGGAAAGGAGAAGGGTCGTCTGGAAAATCCAGTTTTCTTGTTTTTAAACAAAGCAAGTGGCACGCCTAATAACCAAACTCACGTGATAAAGGTCAGTTGAGGATTTTTTGGGAAACAATCCTTTGTTGGCACGCCTAGTGGGACCACTAGCAAGGTGTATCAGTTAAAGTTCATAGACCCTCTGTTTATACATCCAGAAGCGTCTGGAGCCATGCCATCGAGAAAGAGCAAAGACAAAGAGGTTTAGCCAGCCCAAACTGAGCATGTAGATGACAGTCCACTCCACTCTGAGGGTGAAAACGATCCCATCACTTTTCTCCCAGTGTCACTTCTGGCAGAACGGTCCTATGGGAATCTAGTACTTAAGGAGAAAGAAGCAGACCATGGGGGTGACTTTGCTGAATCAAGTAATGTGTTTAGAGGTATGACTGAACGTCTGGATTTAGCATTCAAAGAACAAAACCAAGCTATGCGGAGACTTGTTAAGAGTCAAGCAGAATCCTCCAGACGTCAAGAAGAGATAATTAGACAATGTATGGAAGACATGAGATGGGTCTTTGAAGAAGGCACTAGGGTGATGCGAGAAACTGGGGAAGAAAGTCGTAGAACACTACAAGCTGTTTCAGAACAAGTGGTTGAGCAAGTGCGACAGCCTAGACTTGAGATCCCTCCTCCAATCGTTGAAATGCCCAGATAGATTCAGGAAGCCCCAATCCCAGCACTCGGGGAGCAAGGGAATCAGCCTCATCCTAACATTCAACAACAGAATTTCTTCATGGGTGAAGGACAAAGACAACATGAACCAATGGAGGCTGCTGCTCTTGTTGCAGACCACGGCCATCAACCTCAGCATAGGTATATTCCGCCAGGTAGGAGAGGAAATGTGGGTCCTCATCATCAACCCTACCCAAGGGACTTTTTCCAGCCACAAGTTCCTCCGCCCAGCTGGTACAACGCGTTCTGCAAAATCAACCAGCTCAATTATTCAATAGAGATCAGCTAATAGATCTAGTACAGGAAACCTATGGACCAGCCTTAAGACCATTGGTATGTCCAGCCTATAGGAAGCCTTATCCAGACGTCATTGATCATGAAAATCCTTTTCCAAGGGGTTTTAAAGTGCCTGCGTTCACTTTATTTTCTGGTGAGGTTGGTCAGTCCACTATTGAACATATTGGACGCTTCACAATACAGTGTTGAGAGGCGTCTGGAGATGATAACTTGAAACTCAGATTGTTCCTTAGTTCTTTGACTGGAACAACCTTTACTTGGTACCTCAGTTTGCCTCAAAATTCAGTCTTCTCTTGGAGGCAAATGGAGGACTTGTTTCATACTCAATTTTATCGTTGTGAATCAGAAGTGTCTATGGCAGACTTGTCGAGGTTAGCCCAAAAGCCTGGAGAGTCGTCTGAGGCATTCCTTGCTAGGTTTCGGAGAGCCAGACTGAAATGTCGAGTTGCATTACTAGAACAGGAATTTGTCAAGCTAGCTCAGAATGGTCTGGACATTGAGTTCCGATGGAAATTTGAGGGGATGGAATTTCGATACTTCTATGAATTATCTTATAAAGTGGCTCAGTATAAAAATCTGCTGAAAGAAGATGTTCAAAAGAAAGCTGCATCACATGGAACCTATTACAGTGACCGTAATTTTGATCATGATGTGGTTGAGGTGGTTGCAGACAAGCCTGTTGTTTGTCTAGACCTTGTCAAACCAACTCACCTACCTGAGACATCTGTGAGACGTTGGTGAGGTTGGAAAACAGTATACTTTTGATGTGTTAAAAGCTAGTGATATTTTCGACCACCTTAAAAAGAGTGGTCTGATTAAGCTGCCGCCCAGACATAAAATCCCGACAGCGGCTGAAATCGAAGCTAGAGATTATTGCAAATTTCATAATTCTTGGAAGCATTCTATTGATAATTGTCTTATTTTTCATAATGTCTTACAAGAAAAGATTGATAAGGGTATCTTGAAATTTCCAGACAAAGCGAAAGAAACCATGGGAGTGGATGAAGACCCCTTTCTAGTTGTGTTTGTTGGCGTGAATGTTGCAGACCTCAAGAGTGTTGCCAGAAATCGTAGTCTGCCTTATGCTCAAAGGAACCTTGTTGCTGAAGACTTGAGGTGGGTTCTTGAGGCACAAAGATCCAGACATAGCAGAAGCATCAGGTTAGACCAACAAAGGCTTGGGAGGCAAGGAAGGATCATTGTGACCAGGAATTTTAGCGCAGAAAGTGGCAGGCGTTACTCAAATGGTACTAGATCTCCAAGGATGGTCAAACCGCCACTTAGGTCACCTTCCAGACGGTGGAAGAAAGTCAGTCATCCCAAGTTTCCAGCCCAGAATTCTAGAACCTTGAGGCGCAGACTGTAACGCAAGAGGGCTGAAGAGCAAAAAAGGCAACAGAAGCAGATGGAGGCTGAGGGAAGTTGATCTCGCAGGCCACGCCAACCTACAAAGAGGAACATGGTGTGGGTGAGAAAAGAAAAAAATGAGATTGTAACCCAAACTCTACCGAAGGGGGATGATCAATCTCCAGCCTCTCCAAAGGTGGCATCTGTCATTGTGAGTCAAGATGGAGTTTTGAAAGTAACTTTTGAAGCACAAGAACAGTCTGGGAATCGTGGAGCTGAATCAAAAGAAGATTGGACTATTCATTTTGGGGAATTCTCAGTGAAGTTGTCATGTCTGGTGCTGACATTGCCCTTGGTTTTCCAAGCTAAGAAGGAGGAGGAACCAATCGTCTGTGAGTTCCCAGAACAGACAGAAAAAGAGGCAATCGTTGTTCTAGCTCAGGATAATGAAGAGCAGGACATGGCTAACAAAATAGTGTTTGAAAAACTAGAAGAAAAGATGGCCAGACACATTAGGCCACTTTATATCAATGCTCACATGGATGGGACTCCAATCAGCCGTGTCTTGGTGGATAATGGAGCTGTAGTCAATGTCCTTCCAACTTGCATGCTCTACAAAATAGGTAAGTCTCTTGATGATTTAGTGCATATTGAGGTTACAATTACTGATTTTACAAGAAGGGTGAATCGTTCATGAGGTGTGTTGCCTATTGAATTAACAGTGGGAAATAGGACATTGATGTCTACGTTTTTTGTGGTGGATACTGTTACTACTTATAATGCACTTTTGGAGTGTGACTAGATTCATTCAAGTTGGTGTGTCCCTTCTACACTTCACCAAAAATTGATTTTCTGGAATGGTGGCAAGGCTGAGGTCGTGTCTGCAGATGATAAGCCTTTTTCAGCCAATACCCACCTGGTGGAGGCTAGATATTATAAAGAAGACATTGGTACCATTCGGTTTTTTGGGATGGATAGACATGGGAAGCCGATAGGGATAATAGCATGCAGCAGACCATCATTGTCCAAGCGTGTTGTAGAGGAAGTCTGCGATGAACTTCTTTGGCCAACAACAATAATTCCTTATAGGCTGAAGGAGAAATTAAAAATTGAAGAAATCTAATGAAGCAAGCTCGTCTGAGACAAGAAAGAGAAAAAGCTGTGTTGGAGATAACAAAGAAATTAGCGGCCTATTTTGTTGAAAAAGCAGTTCAAGTAGACATGTCTGAAATTGTTCATGAAGGCGAGACCAGGGTGATGAAATAACTTTGGAGGAGTTGGATCTTGCCCTAGCCAAGTTAGATGATTTAAAAGCTGAAGTTCAAGACCCACTAAAGGAGATCAATCTAGGGTCTGAAAGTGAGCCAAAGGTAACATTTATCAGCGGCTCTCTTGAGCCGTAGACATGAGATCAAATTGTCAGACTTTTGCATGAATTTAAAGACTATTTTGCTTGAGATTACTCAGAAATGCCAAGTTTGGATCGGAAATTGGTGGAACATAAACTGCCAATTGCAAAAGGATTCAAACCGTATAAACAGCCGCCTAGACGCATGTCTGCAGAGGTCACCTTGAAGGTTAAAGAAGAAATTGAGCGGCTGGTAAAAGTTGGATTCATTCGGACATGCAGGTATGCAGAATGGTTGTCAAATGTAGTGCCTGTGCTGAAAAAGAATGGAAAACTAAGAGTCTGTGTTGATTCTCGAAACTTGAATTTAGCTACACCAAAGGATGAGTATCCTATGCCAATTGCAGACTTGTTGGTTGATGGAGTAGCCCGTCACAAAATTCTATCTTTCATGGATGGTCATAGTGGGTACAACCAAATTTTTACTATAGACGCAGACGTTCCAAAAATAGCCTTTCGATGCCCAGGTGCTGTTGGAACTTTTGAATGGGTTGTGATGTCATTTGGTCTGAAGAATGCTGGAGTTACCTATCAAAGAGCCATGAATGCAATTTTTCATGATATGATTGGTAAGTTCATGGAAATCTATATTGATGATGTTGTGGTGAAGTCACATAGGGAAGAAGACCACCTGGTCCATTTGAGGAAGGCTTTTGAGCGGATGAGGCAACATGGCTTGAAAATGAACCCACTAAAGTGTGCCTTTGGAGTGTCTACGGGTAACTTCCTTGGGTACTTGGTGCATGAGCGTGGTCTGGAGGTTGACAAGAACAAAGCTAGGGCTGTGATTGAGGCAAAACCACCACAGAATAAGAAGGAGTTGCAGAGATTTCTTGGCCAAGTTAATTTCTTAAGACGTTTCATTTCTAACTTGGCTGGGAAAACTAGAGTCTTTTCTCCTCTATTGAAACTCATGTCTGAGGCGGATTTTAAATGGGAAGAACACCACCAGTCTGCCTTTGATATGATAAAGCGGTACTTATCCAGATCACCAGTACTTGTACCGCCTGTGAAAAATAAACCTTTAATTTTGTATATATTCGCCGTAGACGAGTCCATAGAATGTCTGCTAACGTAGGAAAATGATAAAAACAAGAGCAAGCTGTGTCTTACTTGAGTCGATGTTTGACCCAGGCCGAAGTGAAATATTCTTTGGTCGAAAAGTTGTGTCTTGCTCTCTTTTTTGCTGCAATAAAATTAAGACATTATTTGATTTATTCCGAGGTCTATGTGGTTGCTAAGACTGATATTGTCAAATATATGTTGTCTTGCCCTTTGTTAAGAGGCCGAATAGGTAAATGGATTCTGGCATTGTCTGAATTTAATTTGAAGTATATACCACAGAAGGCTGTCAAAGGGCAGGCACTGACAGACTTTCTTGCAGATCATCCATGTCTGCATGTGGAAGCAGGTGAAGAAAAAGGGATTAACTTGTTTTCAATAAGTTTAGTTCCTTGGAAACTTATTTTTGACGGATCTAGTACAGAAACCATGTCTGGATCTGGAGTCGTGGCAATCTTCTCGTCTGGGCTAAAAACACAGATGTCTTTCCAGCTAGATTTTGATTGCACAAATAATCAAGCAGAATATGAAGCTTTGATTATTAGTCTTGAAATGTTGGTGGAGCTTAAAGTATCCATGGATGAGGTTATAGGGGACTCATAACTAGTCTTGAAGCAATTGTCTGGTGAGTACAAATGTACTAGCCTTGCCTTAGCCCCTTATTTTGCCTTGGTTGTGCAATTACTGGAAGAGTTTGATGATGTGTCCATTAGACACGTGCCCAGAGACCAGAACTATGAAGCTAATGAAATGGCCCAGATTGCTTCAGGTCAGCGAATTCTTGAAGGTGTAATGCATAAAGTTGTAATAGTTGAAAAACGCAGTCTACCATCAATTCATCAATGTGGCATGATAGTTTCTACTTGCAGCATTGATGTTACCCAGACAGACTGGCGCTTTCCAATTATTCAATACCTTAAGGATCAGAGAAATAAGGTATCTAGGAAAACCAAAATGCAAGCTCTCAATTATGTCTTGGTTGAGGATGTGCTTTATAGGAGAGGCCATGATGAACTACTGCTGCGTTGTCTGGGTCCAAATGAAAGTTCCCAGATGTTGTCTGATGTCCATCATGGGATTTATGGTGCACACCAGGTTGGGATCAAGATGCGCTGGCTGATTCGCAGACATGGTTTCTTCTAGCCATCTGTCCTAAAAGACTATATTCCTTATGCTAAGGGCTACAAATCTTGTCAGATCCATGGGCCACTTCAAAGAGTTCTAGCCTCTGAACTTAATTCTATTGTGAAACCGTGGCCATTTCGAGGCTGGGCTGTTGACTTGATCGGTAAGGTGTACCCCCCTTCATCAAAAGGTCATTCATTTATTATAGTGGCAACGGATTATTTTACCAAATGGGTGGAGGCTAAACCAATGAAGAAGGAAGATCAATTTGATGTAATCAAGTTCATCAAAGAGGACATTATTCACAGATTTGGTCTGCCAGAAACAATTACAACAGACCAAGGCACAGTTTTTGTCAGCCATCAAGTGGAGGCATTTGCAAAGGAAATGGGTTTCGTCTGTTAAATTCTACTCCTCATTACGCACAAGCAAATGGGCAGGCGAAGGCTTCTAATAAGGTGGTTATTAATTTGCTTGAAAAAATGGTGGATGACAACCCCAGATGCTGGCATGAACTATTGTCTGAAACAATGTGGGCTTATAGAACTGCACAAAGAAGTTCAACCAAAACAACACCTTTTACCTTGACATATGGCCATGACGTAGTCTTGCCAATGGAGTTAATAGCCAGGTCTTTAAGAGTAGTGATTCAGCATAATCTCTAGTTTGGAGAATATGATGAGGCCATGATGCTTGAGCTTGAGGACCTTGAAGACACACGTTTGGCAGCTTTGGATAGATTGCAAGCTCAAAAGCTCAAAATTGCAAAGTCTTACAACAAGAGAGTGAAAGGTAAAAATCTGGTAGTTGGTGACTTAGTCTGGAAAGCAATTTTACCTCTTGGCAAAAAAGATCACAAATTTGGGAAGTGGTCCCCAAATTGGGAAGGACCATTTCGAATTCATGAAATGTTGAAAAGGGGTGCTTATTGGCTAAAGTCACTTGATGGAGAGCTTCATCCTAGAAAAATCAATGGAATTTATCCCAATCCTTATTACCCCACAGTCTGGGAGGCAAGAGGAATGGAGTCCCAAGAGCCAGGTTCACACTTCTTTTTGTGCATAATTGAATTGGGTTTCTTTCATTTATTTCATTTTGAATAAGAGAAAGATTGATCAAGCGGCCATGACTGGCTATGGATGGCTAGATGCGCTCAGACAGAGTCAACTGTGAAAAAGTTAGGAATACTTGCTGCAATTATCTTGGGATTTAGCAGATTTTGCACGTGGCCTTTGGAGTCTAAAAGGTAATTTAAAATTTAAACACTTGGATTTATTCACATAAAACCAAGTGTTGGGGGGCATTGTTTACACCTAAAATAAACCAATATGGTAAGGCCACGTGTCGAGGTAAAGCCCAATTATCAAGAAAATCAATAGGCTGGATTTGGGCTAGGCTGGCTTACAATTTAATGGCCCAGACGGATTTTCAAGGAGGTTGGATCTTAGGTGGCAGAAGATAAGATTGGATTTGGTAGTTTGAGTTTGATTTAAAGTGGGAAATTGAGGATTTTTAGGTAGTTATCTTTAAGGTTGTTAGAGATAATGTTAAATAGAAATTATCGGATAACTGTCAAACAACTGTCAAACAACTGCTAGACATGTAATCCCACTACTAGATCATGGAGGAACAGTACCGAAAATCATGGAGGAAGTTTCCAGCATTGAAGAAAATAAAAACAGAGAGAAGAGAACATTTTAGAGGCCTGCCCAACACACATACACTGCCCAGAGCATGTTTTTCAGCTTTCAGACTGCATTTTCCAAATTTCAACAATAGTTTCCAGATTTTCCAATTAGTTCATAGCCTTAGCCTAGGTTTGTTCATCTTAGTTCATATTTTCTTCCACAAATTCCAATTTAGATTAATTTTTAAGCATTTGGAAGCAACTTATCCTTCAAAACAAGTCTGCCCTTTTGATTCGGTTAGTTCTTCTTCCTTTTATGGATTTAATTATGTTATTTGTTCGTGTAAATAGGTTGAACGTTTTCTACCTTTGTTCTTTTGTCTCTGCACAATATCCAGACATGCAGTTTAATTAATTTCAATTTCCAAATTTAATTTTATAAGTTTTCAGACTTTAATCATTTCATAGTTTCTTCTTCAGTTTTAGTTATCAAGTAGTTTAGCTATTTTTATTTTAATTCTGTCAGTAATTAGTTTAATCATTATGGGTTGCGTAGTTGAAATCATTGTCTGTTATTTTACTTTTTCTGTTGTCTGTGAATTTAATCTTTATGGCATGCTATTTTCTGTTATTTACTTCATGTTAGTTTAATTGCCTTAGGATATTGCATTTATTTTAGGATTTGTAGCTTTTATTACACTTGTTTGGTTGTGAAGTCCTTGGAGGTTTCCCAGGCAATTAGTAACCCATTTTGCAAAACTCTACCCTCTGTTTTGCAACATCGTCCGGGGCACAATTCATTTCACAGACGTTTTTTCCAGCCATCCTATTGGAGGTCGACCGCTGGAAAGGAGAAGGGTCGTCTGGAAAATCCAGTTTTCTTGTTTTTAAACAAAGCAAGTGGCACGCCTAATAACCAAACTTACATGGTAAAGGTCGGCTGAGGATTTTTGGGGAAACAAGAATGATGCATCTATATTGCATTTAAAAATGGATGGTGGAAGAGGGACCCAAGAGAAAAGGTCCATGCGGACCCACTCTATCAGATAGTGATCCTGGAGTAACCATTGAGTTAGCATTTTGTATTCTCCAAAATTCTCCCACCATTTGTTGAGCTTTTTGAATAGTCAATAAAGGAGGCAACTGTTGTTGGCCAAATATACCTTGATTCTTGCTCTACTATATGTAGCAATAGATGCTTTAAATCTCTTCCATAAATCATTGCTTTCCTTTGCCCAAATTTCAATATAATGAATCCCACTTGTAATTGCACCAAACCAGAGATCTTTCTTCAGTCCACTTCTTCAGTCCACATCTTCACTTCAAATGAACCTGCAAAGCCCTGAGGTGGGTCCTCGGGGTAGACACTCCGATGCTTAAGTCAACAATAATCGGATCTATCTCTAGAGTAATGGAAAAAGGAGCTTTAGGTTAGTTTCAATTACCTTTTTGAGGTGACCCCTGGGGGGTATTTATAGGCCTTCGTGAGGTGTCCACATGGCTTGCTTAACAGAATAATTGGAGTGTGACGTGTCCCTTCAAGCGGTAATTTCAAGACTGGGAAATTGTGTGTGACAAATCAGGTGTGGGCATGTCCACCGTATTTATCATGTAGCCATTTAATCGGGAAGTGCTAGATTTAACTTCACTTCGGCTATTAAAGAAATGTAACAGTATATCCGAGGTTCAGGTCCTTTGGACCTATCCTTACACTATTCCTCCCTTGAAGTCATTCACTTGTGAATGATGTTGTTAGAGGTGATGGGAGTAATGTTTAATTAGGTAAAAAGGAAGAATGAAAGAGCATTAGAGATGAATTACTAGAGTTATAATTAAAATGAAGATTGGTAACTTAAATTCGTGTATGACCATAACTAAAATAGGATATGTGACAGGAGGTCATTGTGATCATATCCAAAATAAAATGTGACACGGGATGACAATGGCTAGAGTAATGACTGAAGTCATTGTGATAAGGGTCAGAGTAAAAAATAATGACCAGAGTCATTGTGGCTGGAGCCGTAGTATAAAGTAATGACCGTAGTCATTGTGGCCGAAGCCATAGTAAAAAGTAATGACCGGAGTCATTGTGGCTAGAGCCGTAGTAAAATATGTGACACGGGGTCACTATGGCCATAGCCGAGGTAAAATATGTGACGCAGGGTCACTATGGCCATAGCCGAGGTAAAATACTTGTAAAATTGAAAAATATTATTGTGAAAGTGAACAGAAAAGTTGAGTTGGGCTTAATTGGGCCCGTTTAAAAAGTCTGACATAGGGTTAGTATGTGATATGACAGCTGTCTGTTGAAAGACGTGTACAATAAATACGAGCTGAAAAAAGTAACTACTACAGTTAAATAGATTGAGTGGAAAACAAATCGTCGAATTCGAGAGGTTCCCATTAGAGTTTAACCGTTGAATTTGAAACGGTGTGAACGTGACCGTCAAATTAAATCAATCACAACTGTTGAGATATATTTTTGTTTTGTGGTATATATAGCCATATTTCTATAAAAAGAGTTTTACTCTTGTTATATTTTCTACGAAATCGCTGCCAAAACTCTATTGTTTTCTTCTTGCGTCTGGACTGTTGCATCCTTTTTGGATTTCTACATCAATCTTTCAAGATTGAGATCAGGTAATGTATGAGTTTTGGTGATTTAGGTTTTGGAACGTTCTTTCTTCTACTCTCATCCTTTCTGATCTAGATCTAAGTCTTTTAAAGGAAGTGAGGTTTAGGAGTGAGAGTAATGGTGAGTGTGAGTTAGAATTTCTAAAGATCTTGACTTCATTTTCTCCCTCTCCCCTCTCTAATCCATGCAGTGAAAGTTACAAACTTTGAAGAGCTGTCTTCTGAAGAAACGGTGAGCGTTGGGGAAAGTGAGGAAGTGAGGGCATTGGAGTATGGTGATGTGGGTATAACCAGTGAGTCATCTGATTCGGAGAAGATGGAGGAAGGGGTAGGAAGAAGTGAGATGGTTGGGGTAGAGGGAGATAGGGTTCCCGTTACTGTAGTAGAAGTGGAAGGTAGGAATGAAAGGTGTTATGATATAGATGCAGACATTGTGTCTGAGGTGAGGCAGTATGAGTCTGAGCTCAGGACCAGGGATAGCCTGGGTTATTTAGTTGAAAGTTATGAAATTTCTTCCTGAGTTTTGATTAGGCCTGCTGGGGTAGAGGAGAGGGCATGATCTGCACCTCGGGATCATTGGATGCCCATGTATGCTCATTATTTGGTAGCTGGGCTTAGGTTTCCAATTCCTAAACTGCTATTGGGTTTATTATTAGATTATAGCATAAGGTTAACACAATTAGCCCCCAATACTATGAGGGTAATAATAGGGTTTTTACTTTATTGCCTAGCTCAGGGGGTTAATGTGCCAATTGTAAATATGTTTAAATATTTTTTTGTTTTGAAGGGGGGTAGTAGAAAGGACAAGGGGTGGTATTAGTTTACCCCTAGAGTGTCAAATAAGGAGAGTAGAAGCTTATTTACAATGGGCCCTTCATCCATTAAGGGATGGAAGGAGAAAATTTTCTTTGTAGATGACACTAAGTGGGAGAGGGGGGACGTCGAAGTAGAACTGTTGTCATCTTAAAAGGCTAAAAAAGCCAACCAAAATAAATATAGTTTAAATGAGGATGAGGAGGAAGAGTTGGGGAAGTTGGTGAGGGAGGGAGCTAATTTAGTTAACATAATGTACCTCACCAACGCGGATTGTATAGAGGTTGCTAAGCTCTATGGGCCAAGCGCTTTGAGTGAAGGTGTGTTTAGATTTATATTGTAATGTTTGATGTGGAGTGTAGAGTTGTGCTGTTGACACTGTTTTGTTTCCGTTGTTTTGCAGCTGAGATGGATAAGTTTTTAAATGCTGTTGGGGGGGTGGCCATTCTAAAGAAATCGAGGAAGAAGTCAAAGGCTTCAACTAAGGAGGGGAGTGAGGTGGGGACTGGGAAAGGGTTAGTGCTTAACACCTCGGCTAGAGTTGAGGAGGTGGGGCCTAGGCCGGAGCTGAAGAGGAAAGGCGGTGAGGAGTTGGGAGCACTGCAGAGAAAGAAAAAAGTGGTGGAGCAGGAGGCTAGGAGGAGCGAGGTTTTGCAATTCGTACCTTAGCCCCTTCCTATTGAGGTCGATCTTGAGTTAAGGGAGTCTGAGGTTAAGGGGGTTGAGGTAAGGGCCCCTGGTAAAGGGAAAGGCCTCATTCCCCCGTTGTCCTTTTAGAACAGTCTCTTTGATGCGAAGAACACAACGGGGGCAAAAAGGTTTATTAACACAACCTTCCCCGAAGAGGACAAGCATCAAGCTAAGGAAGAGGTGCTAAAGTATTGTGGGGCGATTGTGGTGAAGCACGCTCTGGAGGTATGTTAAGTTGGTTTATGTGTGATTGTTGTTTTTTGTTTTTTGTTTGTTTTTTGTTGTTTTTTTTTTTTTAACTTCTGTTGGAATTACAAAGTGCGAGCTGGGTGAATGCTCTAGCCCAGGAGTTTATGGAGAGTGTGAAGGATCGTTCCCTTTTACAAAGGTAGTGTGAGCAGCTGCAAAAGGAGAAGGAGGAGCTGGAGAAGAAGAACAAGGACATGCAAGAGGCGCTGGATGAGGTGGTATCAGCAATGAAGCAGCTTGAGCAGGAGAAGGATTTTGAGTACCAAGCTCGTCTTTGAAGAGAAAAAGAGAAGGAGCTCTGAAAGCAAGCGCGAGGCTTAGGAGAAAGAGATAAAAGCGATGAAAGAAGTTGTGGTTGAGTTGAAGAAGAATGTTTAGCTGCTGGTACACAACAGGATGGAAGAGCACATCAACAACTTCGTCAACTCCAGCTCGTTTGACAACATTATCAACCTCTACCGGCTGCCTACTACGATCCTCGCCTTCACTGATTGCAGAAAGAAGGTGAAAGCTGAATATCCCGAAGTGGATATAACGAAGATCACCTTCGGCGAACAAGAGGAAAGGGTGGAGGAAAATGGTGAGAGTATGTTAGCAGACTTCCGTCTTGAGATTAAACTGAGGTGGGATCATGATGAGGAAGGGCGCACCGTTTTTCCCCCAAGCTTTGACTTCGAGTTTGTGGCAGTGGAGGAAGAAGAAGCAGAGGTAGAAGGTGTTGGAGTTGAGGAAAATCAGCCACCTCTTCCAGTGGAGGTCCATTCAATTCCTTCTGACGAAGAGCAGCCACCTCAGCCAGCGGAGCAGCCACCTCTTCTAGCAGAGCGGCAGCCACCTCAGCCATCACCCCTAGTAGCATAATTAGGAGTTTTTATTTTTTGATCTTTCTTTTTTACTAACATTGAAACAATTGATAATTTAAATAGTTTGTAACTTGTATTATTTGAGTTTAATAAAAATTTTTGTTTTTGAATTTATGTGTAATATTTGCTTTGTGCTTTATTTGTTTTATGAAGTAAATCACTTTGGATATGAACTAAGAAGAAGTAAATCATTTCAGAGATGAACTGAAAAGAAGTAAATCACTTCGTATGTGAAGTAAAATTCATTAATAAAAGTGAAGTCCAAGGAATAAATTCCAAATAGATTGACCTTTGATATACAGAATAAGAGATGAAATGAATCTAAAAAATGAAGAAGTAATAATTATAAAGAAGAATAAGATGAAGATCACTTGAAAGAAGTTTATTAAGGGTAAAATTTCTTCAAGTTATTGATATTCCAGACTTTAGGAACTTTTTTCCCTTCAGTGTGTTGGAAGATATAGACGCCAGGATGTAGCACTTTGGTCACTGTGTAAGGGCCTTCCCAGTTCAGGGCCAGTTTTCCAAAACGAGTTTCAAACCCTGTTAGGCCAGTTTTTCTAAGAACAAGGTCTCCTATTTTAAATGTTCGAGGGCGGACTCATTTATTTTAGAAATTGGCTAATTTCTGCTTATATACTAGAGTTTGAAGTCGTGCTGCTTCTTTGACTTCAGCAAGCAAATCAAGGTTCTTCCGAAGCAGTTGTCCATTTTGTTCTTCATCCAAATGGGTGACCCAGAAGCTTGGGATTCCTATTTCAATAGGAATGACTGCTTCGGTACCAAAAAGCCAGGTGGTAGGGTGTTTCACCTATTTCATTTATAGTTTTTAGAGTATGCTTTACACATTGTGCAGATTTGATCTAGGGTAAAGCCGTAGGTGAGAAAATAAAATAGAATGAAAGTAGCTTGAGTTGGGAATAGCACCTGTGGCAGTTCAGCTCATAGTTCTATATGCCTAGAGGACGTTGTTAAGCTCGTTTGCCTATCTGGCCTTGTGCTGCTCCAACCTCAGTTTTATTCCCTCCAGGATAGCTTTATTGACAGATTCAACCATACCATTGGATTCTAGATGGTAAATTGAGGTAAACTGTAGTTTGATCCCGTAACTGGAGCAGAAATCTCTGAATGAAAAGCAGTTGAACTGAGTTCCATTATCAGTTATAATCTGATTCGAGATTCCGTATCTACAAATGATTGAGTTGAAAATGAAGTCTTCGACCTTTCTGGAGGTAAGACTGGATAATGGCCAAGCTTTAACCCATTTCATAAAATAATCAACCCTAACAATCAGATGGGTTACACCTCCAACTCCTTTCATGAATGGGCCCAAAAGATCAAGTCCCCGCTGAGCAAATGGCCACGATGCTACCAAGTTGGTGAGCTCTTCTGTCGGTTGGTGAGTCAAATTTGCAAAAAATTGGCACTTCGGGCATCTCTGCACAAAGTGAGTAGCATCTTTATACATATTTGGCCAATAATATCCTTGTCTGAGGATTTTGTGAGCCAAGGTTCTAGCACCAATGTGGCTTCCACATACACCTTCATGCACCTCCCGAAGTGCGTACTCAACTTCATAAGGATTTAAGAATCGTAGAAGAGGGAGCGAGAAAGATCTCTTATAAAGGACCCCATCAACGAGTGTATATCGAGACGCTTTCTTCCTCAACCTCATTGGCTCTTGCTTGTCTTCAGGCACTGACCCGTCTTGTAAAAAGGAGACAATTGGATCTATCCAGCTTGGTGTATCCGGGTCTGTGCTGATCTCCATCATTCTTGGCTTCATGAATCTTGGTTCATCTAGAACTTCCACGAAAACTGATATGGAGCTTAAGGAGCTATCAGAGGCAAACTCGGAAAGTGAATCTACCTGTTCATTCTCACTTCTAGGAATTTTGCTCAAAGAAAACTTCTAGGAATTTTGCTCAAAGAAAACTTCTAGAACTTGCACTTCAGCTCAACCACTAGGGTTACATATTTTATCATGACAAGATCAATAACTTTGCAAACTAAGTTGACTTGATTAACCACAAGTTGCAAGTCACTGTAAACTTGTATTGCCATGACTTTCAGCTTCAATGCTAGTTGTAAACTAAGTAGCAGAGCTTCATACTCAGCCATGTTATTAGTTGCATCAAAGTTAAATTTCAAAGCATGCTCAGTTCGATATCCATCTAGGGCAATTAGGAAAGCACCAGCTCCTAAACCCTTGCTACTAGCTACTCCATCCACATATAAGGTCCAGTCGCTCAACTCGGGGTTAGGGTTTAGGTGACATGGGGTGCATTCCACGATGAAATCCGCTAATGCTTGGGCTCGGATCGTAGACCTTTGTTGAAATGTTATCTCAACTTCCCCCAATTCTACTGCCCACTTAATTAACCTTCCAAAGCACTCCGGCTTCTGAAGGATCTGTTGAAGAGGTTGGTTTGTGAGGATGATGATTTAATGTGACTAGAAATATGGCCTAAGCTTTCTGGTCGAAGTGACAACTACTAATGCTGCTTTCTTAGTAATAGGATACCTCAATTTTGCTCCGTGTAGCACGCTATTGATATAATAAATTGGTTTTTGCTGTTTGCCTTCTTCTCTCACCAAAACTGAACTACTTGCTTCGTCTGAAATATCGAGGTACAAATAGAGAATTTCTCCATCTATACCTTTAGTCAGTAAAGGTGGTGAGCTAAAATAAGGCTTCAGCTCATTGAATGCAACTTGGCATTCTTGGTTCCATTCAAACTTCTTTTGTTTGCCAGATTCATCTTTCTAGGCTGTTGACCTCATGATCTTGAAGAATGGCAGGCACTTATCTGTTGACTTCGATATGAATCTATGAAGAGCTGCCACCCTTCTAGTTAATCTCTGTATATCTTTCATCGACTTTGGCGGTTCCATCTCGGCAATTACTCTGATCTTTTTTGGGTTAACCTCAATCTCCCTCCAGGAAACCATGAAGCCTAGAAATTTCCCAAACTCCACACTAAAGATACATTTGGCTGGGTTTAACTACATTCTGTTCTTTCTAAGATTATTGAATGTTTCATCAAGATCAGCTAGATGATCTTCTGCTTTCAGGCTCTTTACTACAATATCATCAACGTAAACCTCTAAATTCCTGCCGATCTGTGCTCGGAAGATGATGGTTACCATTTTCTGGTAAGTGGCACCTATGTTCTTTTGTAGTTCTTCAGAGACTCTCCTTCCCTCTGTTTGACTCGCATCAGTTCAGAAGTAGTTTTCCTAATCAACCTTCTACTGGAAAACTTTGTACAAAAGCAGATGTTATTTCTGTATAAGAGCTGATGGATCGCGGAGGCAAACTATAATACCAAGTTCGAGCATTACCATGGAGAGTAGAGGGAAAAATTTTGCACATTAACGCATCAGAAGCTTTATGAGCTTGCATACAAGAAGGCAAGGAGGTGATCATTTGGGTCCTTCATCCCATCATATGTCTCGAGTTGAGGAATTTTGAAGCCAACGGGATAAGGTTCCAAGGCGATGTTAGTGTTCAGAGGATGGGGTATGGAATCAGTGTTATGGTGTGGAGGTGGGGCACCTCAATGCTCAGCTACTAGTTTTTCTAAGCTGTCCAAACACCATGTGACATCATCAGGTAAAGGTTGTTGAGCTGGTGCTACGTGAGACTAACCTTGAGATTCATTAAGAGTAGGAGCATGTTGAACTGGTTGAGGGTCTTGCTATGGAACATGAGGTTGGTGATTAGGGTTAAGTAGATTGATGAGGGGATCGTTGGGATTATTCCAAGCTACGAGCTGAGTCAAAACTAATTGAAAAACACCGAACTACTATTGCATGGCAACAAGCTGAGCTGTAACTACATCTCTGTGATTAGCAATGGAAACTAAGTTGTGGGCTGAATTGTGAGGTTGGTTTTCATCTCCTCCTCCTACATGTTCAACAGAAGGGAATAGATTTGGGATCTGAGGTGGGAGGTTAGGTGGAAGATTGTTGGGGAGTTGACCTTGACCTTGTCTAAGGGGTTGAACCTGATTTCCAACTCGGACAGATCGAGTGTTGACCATGATGAGAAAGCAACAAAAAAAGCTTTTAGTTCGAATTCCCACAAACGGCGCTAATATAATTGCACCAAACCAGAGATCCTTCTTCAATCCACGTCTTCACTTCGGATGAACCTGTAAAGCCCCGAGGTGGGTCATCGGGGTAGACACTTCGATACTTAAGTCAGCAATAATCGGATCTACCTTTAAAGTAATGGAAAAAGGAGCTTTAGGTTGGTTTCAATTACCTTTTTGAGGTGGCCTTTGGGGGGTATTTATAAGCCTTCGTGAGGTGTCCACATGGCTTGCTTAACAGAATAATTGGAGTGTGATGTGTCTCTTCAGGCGATAATTTCGAGACCCAGAAATTGTATGTGACAAATCAGGTGTTGGCATGTCCATTGTATTTATCATGTAGCCATTTAACCAGAAAGTGTTGGATTTAACTTCACTTCGGTTATTAAATAAATGTAGCAGTATGTCCGAGGTTCAAGTCTTTCGGACCTATCCTTACACCTATCCTTACACCACCATAACAGAAAAACAATGGTATTTATAAACTAAGGTTGATAGCCAAAACATGACAGAAACCAATCTCTCTGTGCATTGGACACAAACAACATATGAATCACCCCATTCTTGCACAATCCACATTTTGGACTTGGAAGAATTCCTTAGATATGCAAGTTGTGGATGAAATTTGTCATGATTCTCTAAAAAAAAAGTATCTTAGGTGGAATTTTCAGCTTCCATGTCTATTTCCAGAATGTGATAATAATAATAATAATAATTTTTTTTAA